GTCCCATTTTAGAATAATATGGGAAACCCAACGCTAAAAATCTGGATGGGAGCCGTATATTTTATTCCTGAAATTACCTGAAATTCCCCCAAAGGGTATAGTCATCCAAAAAACCACATTTTTCTGTGATACATAAACCGCCCCCCCTGGGGCGGGGTGAGAAATAGTTATGTACACACTTTTCCTAAAACAACCAATCAGGAACCCCTTGGGAAGGTACTTAGAAACAATGGACTATTGGATATAAAACCCATGTGCTTTAAAAAAAAAAAAACCCTCAAAAAGGGACCTAAAATTGGAAAAGACCTGACTTTCTGAAGAAGATCTCTGCTGAAATAACTACTTTTCCATCTTTTCACACTTCCTAAAACTTTAAACCTCTAAACTTATAACTCTCCGACATTCTCTCCCATATTGAATCTATCACTTGCCTATTATCAGTCCAAAGGCTACCACGCATCTAAATCCACGGAGAGATGCCTAGTCTGACGACCGGTGGTGGGTGAGATGTTTTATTTGATTTTGTATAATTACTTTCTCTTTTTGTAAAACAAAAAAAATCCCTTAGTGTATTACAACAATAATTGGGTATTAATATCTGTTGTCAATCCTGTGTTTACTGTTAAAAAATTGTTTATTGCCATATTATAACTTATTTCATAATTTCATAAATTATTGACTATTACTAACCAGAGTATCACATATCAGGGCTTACATCTTGCAATCCTATGAGCACGCGTTCTAGAAGACTATAACCTTTGAGATATTCGAAATATATTAATTATTAATAAATGTTAAATAAAATAATCATATCATTAAACAAATTTACCAATTGATGTAAATTAGTTAGAAACTTGATTAGTGTTCTTACATTGGGCTAGGTTTATACTCTTGTGTTGTGTGTACCAATATTCATCTTTAATCAACCATTCCTTTTGTTGCGTTTTGTGTTTAAGCGTACTGTATATAATTTTTCTGTACATAAATAAATTTTTATATTTATGCTATTATAAGGGGCCACACAAATTTTTGTTCTCGCTTTGACGCTGATGTAGCTGTATGCAGTAAACGAAATCATATTGGCAATAAAAATATCAAGGTATAATAATAAGTGGTGATCAAATTAACATTCAAAAATGATGTTTCAAATTATGGTTTACTAAATATTTGCCGAATTTTTAAAACGGCTGGAGAGAGCACTGTAATATTTCTATCTAAGGGAAAGGGACACGCCCTTTAATAAATAATATATATCCTACATAAACCACCACTATACAAATCAGGAGCTTGGCAGGTTTCTGGATTCTTTGGGGGAAAACGCTAGTAGCTAGTGTCTGCAATCAAATTCACAAATTTTCGTGTGCCGTAAGCTCAGAGGGTTGTATTGGAAAGCCAAAAGATGGCAAGTTCTGATCCTAAAGATAGAGTCAATCCTGAACCGTCCCGTTCACTATGTTGGTGTTTGATGTGTTTGGACCCTGGGACATATTGTAACATTCGACGAACTAGAGGAGGCAGTGCTGACAGCAAACGCTGGGCTTTCCTATCTTTTCCACATGTCTTTCTACAAGAGAAGTGCATATAGAATTGGTTGAGTCCATGTCAGCATCCAGTTTCATCAATGCTCTAAGAAGATTCTTTTCTGTTCGTGGTCCAGCTAAGTTGATTCGCTCTGATAGAGGTTACTAAAACTTTGTAGGAGCATGCAAAGAGCTGCATATATGCTCAAATGATACAGAACATTCTAGACTATCTTCAAGACAAAGGATGCACATGGATCTTTAAACACTCACACTCATCTCACATGGGGGGTGCTTGGAGAGATTAATAGGTTGTAGCGAGGGCGCATTTTAGATGCAATGTTACTCCAAGCTAAACCTACTCGTTTGACTCATGAGACTTTGAGTACTTTCATGGCAGAATCATGGCTATCATTAATGCAAGACCTTTGGTACCACTATCTACAGATCCTGATAATCCTACAGTTCTTACGCCTGCCATGCTCTTGACCCAAAAGGTAGACTCTTTATCGGCCCCTTATGGGGACTTTAGTACAACAGAACTTCATGTAAAGCAATGGAAACAAGTCCAATGCCTGGCTGATATGTTTTTTTGGAAGAGATGGAGGAGAGAATACCTGTGTACCTTACAAAGTCGCAAGAAATGGACTGAGACCAGTCCCAACGTCAAAGATGGAAATGTTGTTTTATATTGAAAGATAGTCAAGAAAGCAGAAATGACTGGCCTATGGGAATTGTCACAAATACATTGCCAAGTAAAGATGGTAATGTCAGAAAGGTTGAAGTCAAAGTGACGAAACAAGGGACTGCTAAAGTGTATACTAGACCAGTTTTCAGATTTGCAGATTCAATGTTCTCCTTTGAATAGCATTTCTGTTGTGTAGTTGGCACAATACATAGCAGAGAGCTCCTCACTGATAGCGTTCAGGCGAGACATTCGCCATTGAGTTAAATTCCATCCTGTGGATTACAATTGGGGTTGGAGATAGTTTGGCCTTGGGCGGCTTCTCCAATCCGAAGATGGGTTTTATGGACTAAACTATTTCTTCATGTGTGCTATCAGCTTGAAGTACCATAGCCAAAAGACCCTGATATGTTGTGGACTCATGTTTTATATGTTACCAATCTAGGCCGGATGTATTTTCTTATGATGTGTTTTCCCTGTACAGTAGATATGTATAGGTAGTGATATAATATATTATATCAGGCAGGGAGTGTGTTGCCTTCACAGGCTAATGGAATTATAGTTACTTATATGGGACATGTAGTGTACCACGGCCATCTAGTGGCAAACATGTATGGCAGTTCTCTGGATATGTAAACTCTCAGACAGGAAATGACTTTTGGTTTAGGAAGTTCTTCAGCCATTTTAGATTGCCATTCACTGGGGATGCAGCGTGCCTGATTCTCTCCCAAGGGGCTTGGAGACATCATCACCTGTAAGTGCCTTTCTGCTGTGTCATCTGTCATAGTTATTCTATGCTACACTAGTTATATTCTATGTATACTGATATGCTGTCATTGTATTGTGTTTCAGTTTCACCTATAAAATAAAGTTGGATTCTTTGGTAGACAACACAAGCAGTGGGCTTCTGTTTGCTGGAGATTCTGACGAGGGTTTAGCTGTCCGTTTAGAGCCACACATAGTCAGTGTTTTGAGAACGGAACATGTCTGATTTTGGAGGTCTCTGTTTTATTATGTATTCCTTTGTTTTTATTATCTTGTGTTCTGTGTCTTTAAGACTTTTCTATCTGTATTAAAATATATTTTTTAAACATTTGGTTGCATAAGAGTTAGGTTTATTGTTTCTTACTTTTTTTTGTTATTTTGGCACTTCCCTGATATCTCTGAAAGGTAGATACAATGCAGGAATGGGTATTAGGGGACATTTCTCGGGGCTGCAGTTCCTCTGAACTCCACAAGATGGTGATCTCATTTCTACTACCCAGACAGGACTTCTCTATGGAATACGGACAGGAAGTGATGACAGGAACAGACAAGAAGTCATATATGGAATATAAACAGGCTGTGCCTTGTGTGTGGAAGTAGCAGCGGAGGAGGTAATAAGATGTTATGTTCTATTTACACCAGTAACCCCCCATCATGTCCGTCCTCTTCCTCCATAATCAGTGTGACGTCTTTTATCTCCAGCAGATGATGATGCACACATGTTGATGATACACATCAATATTTAGAAGGACACAAGGATCTCTACAAGGACGTCATGATGGACAATCAGCCGCCCCTCACATCACCGGGTAAGAGGAGACTTTATTGTAAAGGAGAGAGCAGTACGGAGGATCCACCTAGATCCCCCATCATCTGATAAACACATAGAAACAATGGATTCAGTCAGTGTGTGTGTTTCCTACAGATGGATCCAGTCATGGGAACCCACCAGAGAGATGTCCCCGTCCTCTGTATTCCCGGGATTCCACACAGGAAGGTCACACCATCCCTCACCATCATCAGGTAGATGATGACAATTATTGGTAGTTGTGATTTATACACAGCATGTTTGTTACAATGAATGTTTTATTATATCTTTCAGAGTGGAATCCTCGGGGATGAGAATATTGATGTTAAAGAAGAGTATAAAGAGGAGGATGAGGAGTATATGGAGTGATGGAGGAGTTTTCAGAAGGACACAAGGATATGATGGAGCCACCTAATACCAGGAACCCACCAGAGAGATGTCCCCACCGTCCTCTGTATTCCCGGGATTCCACACAGGAAGGTCACACCATCCCCCTCACTATTGCAAGGTTGGTGGGATGGAGCATCTAGAACATGGATTCATAGAGACAATGTGTGGATTTTTTTATGTGACCTTATATTTTACAGATGATATTTTCTCTCATTTCCTTGATTTAGAGTGGAGATCCAATCGATATAGAATTTGAGGTGAAAGCAGAAGAAGAAGAGGCGTATGTGAGGGATGATCAGCAGTCTATGGAGGAGGATGGAATAACGGGGACATTTATAGAGGAGGACACTCCTACAGAGATCAGCACAGGTGGGTCATGAACACTAAATCCATTCCTCCACCCATACTGCTCACTGATTGGTCCAGAGTAGGGCGGGGACTGGGTGATATCAGCCTGTAATCCCCTGGTCACTTTCCTGAGCTGTGTTCCCCGTCCTGTATTCCTGGATTTCTCTCGGATAATCTTCCTTCTCTGTGCTGCAGACACAATTTATGTATCTAGACTGGATTTATGGAGGTTCTGGGGTTCAGCTGGCAGCAAAATGTTGATTTTTACTCTAAGCATTGCATAATGTAGGCACCCAGGACATGTGACTGGGGTCTCCTCCTGCCTTGTGCCTGACTCTCCTCCAGGGGACCTTCTCTGTGTTATCTGCTGGCTGTGCCGGGTGGAGGGATATGTCTGTAGTGTCTCAGACCCAAGTCACTGAGTGCAGTCTCAGGAGATGGGAGGCAGCGGTGTGGGACCTACATAGTTACATAGTTAGTCTGGCTGAAAAAAGACATCCATCTAGTTGTACCATTAAAAATAAAAGTTATAATCCGACACCCACAGCTGATCCACCAGAAGGCAAAAACCCAGCAAAGCACGATCCAATCTGCTCCTGCAGCAGGGGAAAAAATTCCTTCCTGATCCCCCCGAGAGGCAATTGGATATTCCCTGGATCAACTTTCCCTATAAATGTTATATCCAGTTATATTCTGTGTATCCAAGAAAGAATCCAGGACTTTCCTACAGCAACCCCCCCTTATGTATTATACATGGAGATCATATCCCCCCCCTTATGTATTATACATGGAGATCATATCCCCCCTTATGTATTATACATGGAGATCATATCCCCCCCTTATGTATTATACATGGAGATCATATCCCCCTTATGTATTATACATGGAGATCATATCCCCCCTTATGTATTATACATGGAGATCATATCCCCCCTTATGTATTATACATGGAGATCATATCCCCCCTTATGTATTATACATGGAGATCATATCCCCCCCCTTATGTATTATACATGGAGATCATATCCCCCCTTATGTATTATACATGGAGATCATATCCCCCCTTATATTATACATGGAGATCATATCCCCCCTTATGTATTATACATGGAGATCATATCCCCCCTTATGTATTATACATGGAGATCATATCCCCCCTTATGTATTATACATGGAGATCATATCCCCCCCCCTATGTATTATACATGGAGATCATATCCCCCCTTATGTATTATACATGGAGATCATATCCCCCCTTATGTATTATACATGGAGATCATATCCCCCCTTATGTATTATACATGGAGATCATATCCCCCCTTATGTATTATACATGGAGATCATCATATCCCCCCTTATGTATTATACATGGTCATATCCCCCCCTTATGTATTATACATGGAGATCATATCCCCCCTTATGTATTATACATGGAGATCATATCCCCCCCTTATGTATTATACATACATGGAGATCATATCCCCCCTTATGTATTATACATGGAGATCATATCCCCCTTATGTATTATACATGGAGATCATATCCCCCCTTATGTATTATACATGGAGATCATATCCCCCCTTATGTATTATACATGGATCATATCCCCCCTTATGTATTATACATGGAGATCATATCCCCCCTTATGTATTATACATGGAGATCATATCCCCCCCTTATGTATTATACATGGAGATCATATCCCCCCTTATGTATTATACATGGAGATCATATCCCCCCTTATGTATTATACATGGAGATCATATCCCCCCTTATGTATTATACATGGAGATCATATCCCCCCTTATGTATTATACATGGAGATCATATCCCCCCCTTATGTATTATACATGGAGATCATATCCCCCCTTATGTATTATACATGGAGATCATATCCCCCCCCTTATGTATTATACATGGAGATCATATCCCCCCTTATGTATTATACATGGAGATCATATCCCCCCCCTTATGTATTATACATGGAGATCATATCCCCCCCCTGTATGTATTATACATGGAGATCATATCCCCCCTTATGTATTATACATGGAGATCATATCCCCCCTTATGTATTATACATGGAGATACATGGAGATCATACCCCCCCTTATGTATTATACATGGAGATCATATCCCCCCCTTATGTATTATACATGGAGATCATATCCCCCCTTATGTATTATATTATACATGGAGATCATATCCCCCCTTATGTATTATACATGGAGATCATATATCCCCCCTTATGTATTATACATGGAGATCATATCCCCCCTTATGTATTATACATGGAGATCATATCCCCCTTATGTATTATCATGGAGATCATATCCCCCCTTATGTATTATACATGGAGATCATATCCCCCCCCTTATGTATTATACATGAGATCATATCCCCCCCCTTATGTATTATACATGGAGATCATATCCCCCCTTATGTATTATACATGGAGATCATATCCCCCCTTATGTATTATACATGGAGATCATATCCCCCCTTATGTATTATACATGGAGATCATATCCCCCCTTATGTATTATACATGGAGATCATATCCCCCCTTATGTATTATACATGGAGATCATATCCCCCCTTATGTATTATACATGGAGATCATATCCCCCCTTATGTATTATACATGGAGATCATATCCCCCCCCTTATGTATTATACATGGAGATCATATCCCCCCTTATGTATTATACATGGAGATCATATCCCCCCTTATGTATTATACATGGAGATCATATCCCCCCTTATGTATTATACATGGAGATCATATCCCCCCTTATGTATTATACATGGAGATCATATCCCCCCCTTATGTATTATACATGGAGATCATATCCCCCCTTATGTATTATACATGGAGATCATATCCCCCCTTATGTATTATACATGGAGATCATATCCCCCCTTATGTATTATACATGGAGATCATATCCCCCCCTTATGTATTATACATGGAGATCATATCCCCCCTTATGTATTATACATGGAGATCATATCCCCCCTTATGTATTATACATGGAGATCATATCCCCCCCCTTATGTATTATACATGGAGATCATATCCCCCCTTATGTATTATACATGGAGATCATATCCCCCCTTATGTATTATACATGGAGATCATATCCCCCCTTTATGTATTATACATGGAGATCATATCCCCCCTTATGTATTATACATGGAGATCATATCCCCCCTTATGTATTATACATGGAGATCATATCCCCCCTTATGTATTATACATGGAGATCATATCCCCCCTTATGTATTATACATGGAGATCATATCCCCCCTTATGTATTATACATGGAGATCATATCCCCCCTTATGTATTATACATGGAGATCATATCCCCCCTTATGTATTATACATGGAGATCATATCCCCCCCTTATGTATTATACATGGAGATCATATCCCCCCTTATGTATTATACATGGAGATCATATCCCCCCTTATGTATTATACATGGAGATCATATCCCCCCTTATGTATTATACATGGAGATCATATCCCCCCTTATGTATTATACATGGAGATCATATCCCCCCTTATGTATTATACATGGAGATCATATCCCCCCCTTATGTATTATACATGGAGATCATATCCCCCCTTATGTATTATACATGGAGATCATATCCCCCCTTATGTATTATACATGGAGATCATATCCCCCCTTATGTATTATACATGGAGATCATATCCCCCCTTATGTATTATACATGGAGATCATATCCCCCCTTATGTATTATACATGGAGATCATATCCCCCCTTATGTATTATACATGGAGATCATATCCCCCCCTTATGTATTATACATGGAGATCATATCCCCCCCTTATGTTATACATGGAGATCATATCCCCCCTTATGTATATACATGGAGATCATATCCCCCTTATGTTATACATGGATTATTATGTGGAGATCATATCCCCCCCTTATGTATTATACATGGAGATCATATCCCCCCTTATATGTATTATACATGGAGATCATATCCCCCCCCTTATGTATTATACATGGAGATCATATCCCCCCTTATGTATTATACATGGAGATCATATCCCCCCTTATGTATTATACATGGAGATCATATCCCCCCTTATGTATATTATACATGGAGATCATATCATATCCCCCCCCTTATGTATTATACATGGAGATCATATCCCCCCCTTATGTATTATACATGGAGATCATATCCCCCTTATGTATTTATACATGGAGATCATATCCCCCCTTATGTATTATACATGGAGATCATATCCCCCCTTATGTATTATACATGGAGATCATATCCCCCCCCCCTTATGTATTATACATGGAGATCATATCCCCCCCCTTATGTATTATACATGGAGATCATATCCCCCCCTTATGTATTATACATGGAGATCATATCCCCCCTTATGTATTATACATGGAGATCATATCCCCCCCCCCTTATGTATTATACATGGAGATCATATCCCCCCTTATGTATTATACATGGAGATCATATCCCCCCCTTATGTATTATACATGGAGATCATATCCCCCCTTATGTATTATACATGGAGATCATATCCCCCCTTATGTATTATACATGGAGATCATATCCCCCCCCTTATGTATTATACATGGAGATCATATCCCCCCTTATGTATTATACATGGAGATCATATCCCCCCTTATGTATTATACATGGAGATCATATCCCCCCTTATGTATTATACATGGAGATCATATCCCCCCCTTATGTATTATACATGGAGATCATATCCCCCCTTATGTATTATACATGGAGATCATATCCCCCCTTATGTATTATACATGGAGATCATATCCCCCCTTATGTATTATACATGGAGATCATATCCCCCCTTATGTATTATACATGGAGATCATCATACCCCCCTTATGTATTATACATGAGATCATATCCCCCCCTTATGTATTATACATGGAGATCATATCCCCCCTTATGTATTATACATGGAGATCATATCCCCCCTTATG